CCCGTCTTCACCGCTGAAGCTCGGCGGTCCTTAGTGCCCCTCCAGCGGGTGTCGTGCCTGCGGAGTGAGCTGCCATCGCCTGTAGGAGCCAAGGACTTGGGGTTTTTTTGGGTGTTTTTTTGGGTGTTTTTTTGGTTTTTTTTGTATGTCATGCAGTTAGTGATGTCAGAGAGGCAGAGACCGCTTAAGGTAGGAGTCTTAGTCAGTTGAATTCAAAGTAAGGAAAACTTGTAATCAGAGGCGAGGCCTGAGCAGAGCAGGTCCCCTCCTCGGGGCAGGGGGAGCGAGTCTCGTCGTGACAGCTGCCCGACACCTGCCCTTGCCTCGAGTGGGGAGTGACGGACCAGCCCGACGGGCTTGGGCTTCGCTTTGGTTGTGTTTGGGTGCTCCCGGCATCCTGGCCTTGGCTAGAGAAATCCTAAAAACCAGAGGTCCAGTAAAGGATCGTCGAGTTGTTTTGAGGCTGGTAAAAAATAGGAAAAATACTCTCTAAAAATGTGCTCCAAATAAAGTTGAGTTCATAACTGACTGCTAATACTTCAGTCAGGGAAGTCCTTTGACCTGTAGAGCTTTTGCTGGTTTAAAGGAGGTCTCTCGATCCTTGACCTCAAGCCATTCTTCGAGGTGCTGCTTAGTGACAGGGGAGTGCAGCGTGGCTCTGCGGGGTGCGCAGTCCTCCTGTGACAGCCCCGGATGGGCATGCAGGTGCAAACCAGTTCAGCAGCCTAATTACTCCCAGTGGTGGTGGCTACCTGTTATTTGCTTGTGTGTGTAGCTGGCAAGGAGTAAACTTTATAGTCACTACGTAGAAATTCTTCCCAGTGAGGCAAACTGACGTGAAACGCTGCTGCAGGACGTGGTTGAGGAAGTGTTGTGGTAAGATCCAAGCTGTCAAGGAGTTGGTTTTATTTAACTTGGAAGAAATGTTTCCCCTTTGCGTCTTGGAAACGGAAAGAGCTCTGCTGCCTGCTCAGTCTGTCCCTCCCAGCCAGTCTGAAAATCTGCATCCAGCTCAGCTATGAAGTAATGTCCCAGGAGAATTTCTTGGTCAGGTTGGTTTTTTGTCTCATTAAAGCTAGACTTTTTAACATCTTCCTCCTTGGATAGCTGCATTTTTCAGATACATTTATACTGTTATGTTTTTCTCTTCCCTAAAGAGCACATGACCTGAAACTCAGGGCTTTTGGTTGTTTTCCCATGTGGTGGCCCTGCTGATTCCTCCCTTCCCCCAACAGTTTTGCAACTTCCTGACTCCTGACTTGATCTGGCTTCTCCACTACGCTGATCGGAATACATAAGGATTACTTTAGATCCGGCCTCTTCAGGCTTGGCTTGGGTTAGGGTTTTGTGTTTTCTTTTTCCATGCTCTTGAACCATAAAATGCCTCGGATTCTTCTGCCATTGTAACATGCTGCCAGCTTGTCACCCCCAAGGCTCTTTTGTTTATTCTGCAAATTTTCTTACTGAGTAATACGTTTAGGATCTGCCCTGTAGATTCAGTGACATACTTTCCCAAGTTGACTGTTTCATTTTTCCTGAAAATATATTTAATTTTTCAGTCACCTCCATACCTTTGACCCTGCAGTCTTCACAGTTCTCATCTGGCTTTGTGTCATTAGCAGACTTAGCTAATGTTTCCGTACGTATCCAACAATAATAACCTTATTGCTGCCATTACTGGCGCCTCGTTTTGTTCCTTAGCATGGTGCTGTTTATTGCAAATATCTACTTAAACCAAGTGAAGCAGGGTCAGCAGTCAGGGAATTAGTGAAGCAGCTTCCTCAGTTTGCACAGCGGGTGCGGTGTTACAGCAGTGCTGCTTTCCTGTGCGGTGGCCAGTCCTGGATTTGAGCATGGCTTTGGAGAGAGAGGCTTGCTCTGAGATGATACCTTGGCTTCAAGGGGGTGGGTCAGACACCTCAGCCCTTTCTGTGCCCTGACCTTTGGGCTGAGGCTCTTCTCATGCGGAGAGAGGAATTCCTCAGCCTGGTGGTTTTGAAGACAAAGAGAAACTGTCATTTGAAGCTTCCCTTTGTAGAGGGCGAGCAGGGGTTGTCACAGGTGAGAGGATGAATTCTTCCGCTCTGCGTGAATCGTCCCTTTCCCTTCAAAGGAAAAACGGCAGGGCTACATCAGAACCGAGTCTTTTGGGATAATATCCAGAGTGTCCAGTGTGCTGTCCCCCTCCCTGTGTGATGGGTGTGTGTGTCAGAGCTGTTGCTGAGTTTGTCTCTCCAATTTGTCCAATTTCCTCCTGTAGTGTTCTCAAACAGTGTAAAGATGTGGAGCTCTCCTTCAGTGACGTGACGGGCAAGCCTGAAGCCTTCAAAGGCACCAAGAAAGGGATGCTGTATCTCACCCCTTACAGGGTAAGTCCGATGCCAGCAGGGCTGCTTCTTTCTCAAGGGATCTTGTAGATGTTAGACCAGAAACCTCATTGGTGATAAAAGAAGTGATTTTTGTTATGGGAGGAACCACTGAGAAAAGGGTGGAGAGAGGTGGGAGAAGGGAAGATGGAAATAGGATAGTTTGTGCCTGTGTCACAATCCCAGTTCCTTACAAAGGCACATGCAGTCCTGGAAATCACTGTCCAGAGAACACACTTCATATAATGTGTCAGTCAGTATTACTTTCTCTGGAAACTGTCGTCATAGCTTATCCTTAAAAACCAGAACAATAAAACTCTGTGAATGTGCATGAGTGTTTTAAGTGGTATATTATTTTGCAACGTACATGCTTCAGGCAAATGAGCCATGTGCCATCAAATCTGTTTAGGATCCCGCAGTGTTAAAGCTGTGAGATAGCACAATGCATACTCATACCAGGAGTTTTGGATGCTTCTACAACTAGAACTCTGTGACCACCCTTTATATCTAATCGAAGTAATTCAGAGGCGTTCCCTCCTGTCTTGCAGATGATCTTTGTGTCAAAGGGCAAGGATCCTATGCAGTCTTTCATGATGCCGTTTTATTTGGTGAAAGGATGCTCAATCGAGCAGCCTGTTTTTTCTGCCAATTACATCAAAGGACAGATTCAGGCCGAGGCAGGAGGTATGTGCCAGTGCTTTGTAGACTGAACTCTTCCCAAGTGTCACAAGTCCTTTTGTGCTGAACATCAGACTTACGTGCACAGGAAGGACGGACAGAGTAGCTGTGGCAGTATGGCTAGCATGTCCCCGCTGAGGTCACTTGTGTCTTCTGAACTTTAAGGCACTGCTGCTGTGTCACTTTCTGCCCCCAAAGCTCGTAACTGCCTTTCACAGGATCACTTTTGTTTAATCCTGTAACTTCGATCTTGCTGTGTATCTCGTGTTTACTCGCTTTCTGCATGTGCTTATTTTCTCCTGTCTTTGACCTGGGCGGGTGGGTGGGTAAGTGACCAAGTCACCAGTCATTGGTATCGACAGAATTAGCAACCGCTTTTGTTTTCTGGAGGTCGGTAGCCACTTACCGACTCAGGTACATTTGCGTGCATCTTGGAGGCTGCTGTATATCATTAATTTAGCTTCGTTCCTAATTTGACGATGAAACTGTGGTAAGACAGCCAATGTCGTGACCAAACATAAGGAATTGCAGAAGACAAACAGGGATTAAAAACAAGGCTTCTGGTTCAAATTTCTTCCGTCTTCAGCCCTGGCATTAGTTTAGGTGCATTTTGATGACATCTGGAGAGCTTATGTTTTTCCTTTCTGTTGGTAACAATGCTTTAAAGTGACTGAGTCCTCTGGGGATTGTGGATCAGCCCACTTTTTCTGGCTGAAGTCATATTGAGACAGTGGTTTTAAAGAGGTGAGTCTCCAAGGGGATGACTTTATCCGTGGTGGATTGTTTTGTTACGTTTCTATGCTTTATTTCTACTTTGTCCCTGAGAAACTATCTCTACTTTTGTTCACTTTCTTGTTAGACAAGGAAGATAAATCTTATTTTATGAAATCTTTTATTTAAATGACATCTTTTTTCTAAAAAGACCAAAAAACTGAAGCACGCCCCAAAAAACCCTACCAAAAAAGCCCCTACAAAACAAAGTGCTCTTACTTATCTTGCAATATCATCGCCTACTTGCAATTTTTCAGAAAAATTGCTGTTGTATCTAAGCATTTATAATCTGTCTGAGCTTCTGTGGGTCAAAGAGATTAAAAATGTTGCATTTGATTTAAATCCTAGCTTGAGTTGCAGATCCTGATCTGAGTCGACTGTGGTCAGCATTAAAACTTCATTTGAGGACTTTCAATTAAAACCCTCCGTGAATTAAGTGTTCTTTCTTTACACTGTGTTCATTATTAGGTTCTATTAAACCTTTCAGAAAAGAACAAAACAACTTAGTATCTAGAGCAGGCTGCTTCTATGTAACTATAGTGAGGATTGTCTTTTAAAGGGTAGAGAAATAAATTCCTTATCTTCTTGAGATGCCGGTTTGGGGGACATCTGATAGCAACGCCACGACTCTTTCCTCCTGGCAATAGGACGCAAAATACTTCTGAAATAAAGAATTAAAAAAAATAATTGGAGTATTAAGTGTTTTGCTGTGTTGACTGCTACTGAGGAGGTTAACAGTCTGTTTTAATTCTAACTCTCTCTCCCCTAGGTGGCTGGGAAGGGCAGGGGACATTTAAACTGACTTTCAACAGTGGAGGAGCCATTGAGTTTGGACAGTTGATGTTCAAAGCTGCCTCTAATGGTACGGGATCTTCAGAGCCTGCGGTTCCCCCACGGCTGGCTGAGCTAGTTAGAGAGTCGTGCTCTTTTTGAACTCCATGGGAAGAAGGGTACCCTATGCGCTCTTCCACAGCAATGTATTTTTTTCTCTTTCCAGGGGAGTTTTTGTTTTCCCTTCCAATCCTTTTTCTTTATTTCATCTTCGTGCATTGTGCAGTCAGAATATTCTGGGGTTTGTGCTTCTGAGGTGGACCGCATTTTTCTACGCAACCTTATTCCTCCTGGAATAAAGTTGAAATATGTGATGGTGAAAAATTGATTCACTTACCTACCCTCAGCTTAGTTCTGTGATAGTGGAGTAAGATGGGGGAAGTTAACGTGCGCATTTGGAGAGGGGGGAAAATAAATTATAAAAAATAACTTCTGTTTAAAACTTTCAGATGGGGGAAAAATGTACTTTTTTTTTTTTTAAACCCTGATAGCAAAGTGTCCTTTTTAAAGAAATGTGCATTTAAAAATGTACATTTTTTTTTCTGATAAGAAAGGATAAAAAGAAGAAAAAACCACCCTACTGATACTTGCTTTAGAATGGTCTTTTCTTCCAGGAGTGGGAGGTCTGTGATGGGACTGGTACCTGATAGCTAGTATTTTTGCAGCTGCTTTCCTTTAGCACCCTGTGAACTCACAGCGAGGACACTAATGCTTTTCAAGCCCAGTACTATGCCAGGACTGTGTAGTGAATTTAGACGAAGGGAAATGGTGCTGCATGGACAGGACTATTTTTCCTTCTATTCTTATTATATATTTAGTTGTAACAAAAGGATGTCTGGCTTACTAAATGTGTACTCCTTAGCTTCTAGTGGCGTTCCTCTCCAGAACCCTGGCTATGGCTATACACCTGTGCCCGGAGGGTATGCACCCGCCCCGCCTGCTCCTGGGGGTTATTCACCTGCGCCGGGGGGCTATGCTGCTCCTCCACCACCAAACGGACCGTATCCTTATACACCACCGCCAATGAATGCCTATGGACCTGCTCCACAGCCCATGGGATATCCGTACGCCCAGACTCCAGGTTTGGAAGTTGTGTCACGATGACTAGCAGGGTGTGTTTGGTGTTAGTTGTAAAGAAATCAGAATGGTACAGGGAGGGTTACTGTAATTTTGTCTTTGTCAAGGATCCTTGTCGTTGCAAAAATCTGTTGCGTGCTGTTGATCGCACTGGTGTGTCTCTATAGCTGCAGCTGGATAGGAGGTGAAAATGTGGTTTGTAAGTTGTGCTGCTGCTTGGCAGAGAATTGTTGCCTGCTGGCATGACGGGCATTAGCAAAATGTCACATCCCTGCTGTCTGCATCCCTGCCAAGCCTGCTGAGCTTCCCTCACCACTGCTCTTTGTCCAGAGCTGATGTGCTGCTGGGCCTGGGAGCTCCCTTCCCCTCTGTCCCATTGCCATGGTCCAAAGCATCGATCCGATGTCATCTTTTTCAGGTATTTACCCACCGCTTCCAAACATGAACCCCGTGTATGTGCCACCTCCTCCCCCCTACTCCGGGCCATCTCCTGCAGGACCCTCGGCCCCCTCAGCTCCTCCAGCCTGGGTGGGCCCAGGGATGCCAGGTAAATGGGACTGGGGGGGTGCTGCCAGGGTCCAGGCACAAAAGGGGGGCTTGGGCTGTGGGTGGTGGGGTGGGGAAGCTGTTGTTCTTGCAGGAGCTCAAAGTTGTCTTTATTATTTGAGATAACAAAGTGTGGGGGCAGCCGCTCAGCTTGTGGTCAGGTCTAGCCAGCTTGCAGCTTTCCTGACCTGCTCGGAGCTCAAACCCAGGCTGCTGCAGTTCCTGTTGGCTCTTTGGACCTTTGTGACCTCCTCAAAAGAGCTGCGGCCAGGGAGAAGGCTCTGGGGCTTGGGCCACTGCCCAAGGCATGTAAGATGGCTTCTTTCCTTTCTAGGGGACAGTAAGGCCATGGAAGCCGCTTCCAGTGCCTATTACAACCCTGCCAACCCACACAATGTGTACATGCCCATGGTGAGTAGCGCGCCTGTGGTCTGCGTGTCCCTGCTCCCTCTTCTGTCACTAGTAGAGACAGTGGTTTGCTTTCCTAGCAAAGTCTAGCGTGCCTTTCCATTGAATGTGCACCGAAGGTATGCGTTTTCCTGGGAGGGAGGCGTGGTTGTTGGTCCCATGAAGAAGGCTTGTTAAATCCACAGTCAGGAAAGGAGGAGGGCGTTGCGATTCATCCAGTAACAGCCGTTCGGTATTGGTCTTAGCTTAAAGGCGTAACAAATCTGCATGGGCACAGAGAACACACAGAGCTCTCCGCTTCCGTTGGACCTGAAAGCGGGGAGAGTTAAAGAAGAGCAGGTCGCTTAAGGATGAGAGCATGTGGGTTTCTCTTTAATTATTTTTTTTTCCTGGGCTGCATGGAGATGGGGAGGTCTCTTGCTGTTCAGTCAGTGGCAGCCAGTAGGTAGGCTGTAGCCTACACCTGGTACGTGACAGCCAGTCCGCCTGTGCCTCACGTGGCTCTGCGGTGGGCTGGAGACCGAGGGAGCAGCAAAGCTGGCCCTCAGACTGGGGGCTTGCTGTCTGCTGGGTCAGAGCTATGAACATCAGCAGAGCCAGAGCCCTGGAAGTGAAGGGAGGATGGTGATTGAAACAGATTAAACGGTCTATTTGCAACAGACCGTTTGTTACCTGGTTTTGAGGGGACCTTTGCTAGGAACGTTATGGGAGGCAGCATATATCCTGGAGCATAACTGATCCTAGAGAGGAATGGTGTGATGAAATGACAGCTTAAAACAGAGCACCTGGCTCTGTCTGTAGCTCACTGAAGAGCAGTCATTTCGTGTAAGCCAGGCCTGGGAACACCTAGGAAGAGCTTGTCATAAAACGAGCAGGGTTGTTGACTCTGCTGTATCTCCTTCCAGGATCAGCCGCCTCCTTACACACCTCCTGAGGATAAGAAGAACAACTAACAGAAGGGAATCGCAACCAGCCTCCCACACTCTCTCTCCCTGAAGACAACTTGGCTGTTACTACTGCTCGAGTTAGCGTATCTCTAGGTCTCTTTGTATATACACAGTATTTGTAGCGCTGGGCAGCTGAGCACCTGCCCTCCTTAAACTTAGGTCAGTGGCAATACAAGGCGGAACAAGAGCACTCTCCTGCTTATTTGCTTTATCTCATGGGGTCGAAGCACTAACCTTTTGCTCTGCCATTGGCTTGAGGAGAGAGATGGACATCTTAAACTATCAGTAGACCACATCACTAATCTAGGACTAAAATATGAAGGCTCTGGGATCTTGGAGTAAAACTACTTGGAATGCCAAAATTTTGACTTCTTCTGAAGCACCATCCAAGGGGAAAGGTATAGAGAGCCATGAGGTTCCTTGCATAGACCCTTGGGTGCCCCAGAAAGGTGTTAAATTTCCTTAAATGCTGACACGGCTCGGCGTGAGATGGGACTCTGGAAATCCTGGGTCGTGCTGGAAGCGTGTGTTTCATGTCCTGGACTAACTTGCCATGGTGTGACAAACTTGGGAAGTGCATCCCAAGAGACATTGAGGCATTTGGCTGTGCAAGAGGGAAGGGGATGGGCCGTGGCCAGCCTGCCTTTGTAGGCATCGAATAGAAAAGCAAACAAAGGTGTGCTGCAGGGCGGTGAGCGGATCCTGGCAGGCGTGCAAATCAGTCTTCCTTTCCCTCGCCTAGAAGCAGGTCCCAGATCTGCACAATGATCTCGTGTCAAGCAGCTGTTCTTCAAGCGTAAAGGAGTCAAGCACTGCACAGGAGGCTGCTTGCCTTGGAGCAAAATGCCTTACATTAGGAAGATGATGTGGCACTAGCCTTGTCAGGAGGTGGGGCCCGCAACCCTGGCTCCTTCGGCTGAGCAAGCTTGTGTTGCCTGTTGGCTCCGTGGGGGAAAACCGGCCTTCGTCTCTTCCTTGGGCCGCTACAGCCCCCGCATGTGTGCCCACATCTGAGCAGCATGGGAGGGCAGGTGCTGTGACACAGGAGCTGGGTTGCTTAGGGGTGCAGTGCCCTCTCTCAGCTGGGAACCGCTGTCTGGTGTGGATGTTCCTAACACTTGGCCACAACCTCTCCTTCTTCTGTAGGACCTCGTGACATTAAACCTGCTCTGAAGAGTCTCTCTGGTCTGGTGGAGACCCCTTTACATATGGGTGATTGTACTCCCTCCTGCAGCCTTCCTGCCCTCACAGGGAAGGGGAAGGAGTGTTTTCCCTCTTCCTTCCATGTGTGCCAGGGCTCTCCTGTAAGCCAGGCTTGCACGACTTGCAAGTGTGAATTCCTAAAGCAGCCCTGCATGGGTGGAAGTAAATTTCCTTATCTATAAACACCTTTTAAGGCTGAGTTAGAGATACTCTAATAACTCTGTATTTTTTTAAAAAAAAAAAAACCAAACCATGAATGTTTGTAACTTTTTGAATTGCACTTTAATACAGGAGTGTTGATACCTTTAGCTGCCTGTTCACTGTTATGTGGTGTGGTGACCTCCGTTCCTGCCTACTGCGCGGAAGGCTGGAACAAACGACAGCCACTGCTCTTCTCTCGGGTCAGCTGCGGGCCAGCCCTCCTCTCTCTCTGGTGCACCGCTAAGCTGGATCTGGAATCAAGTAACGGGGGGGGAGAAAAGAAGGTGGGGCTCATCCTCTTGGTGCCTGGGGAGGGTGGAAGGCTGGTTTGTGCCTTTGCTCTCGCCCAGATATCCAGAACTGGCACGTGTTCCTGTCCTCAGGGCAGGCACAACACCGCATTTCGTGGGAGCTGTGTCACCACCCTGCTCCTCACTACGGCTGTACCTCTGTGTAGCACCTCTCCCATCTACATTCACTGCCAGAGGGAAGGCCTGTCTTTAAAAGGAACTCCTTGCTACCAAGTTTTTTTTCCAGTGAGGGAAAAATAAATATGTGTAAAGGAAAATGGCACTTAACGGTGGAGTGGAAAATGTTTCCCTTTACACGATGTAATTACTGGAATGCCATTTCCTACTCTGCATCAGTCCAGTCGCTAACAGGAAGCCAGTTCTCTTTCTTGGCATGGTTTTTCCTGTTTTGAGGTGATGAACCAAGTGGCTATAGCTAGCAACACTGAATAAACATGAAACAGAGAGCCTGTGACCTGCTTCCCCTTTATTTCAATTAATTGGTCTCCGTCACTCCCCAGAACAAAGCCAGCTCCTGTATACAGACGTGAAGTGCACTCGTGCTTTCTCGTTAGCACTGCAAGCATCGTGTTCGGTATCGTGCTGCTGCGCTCCGAGGAAGTTTCTGGAAGTGGCCAGAATCGGCCATTTGGTCCTGCAGGAATCAGAGTGGGTGGATGACCAGGAACCCTCCAGCATCTGCACAGAAAGGGGAAACTTTTTCTTCATCTAAAATGTGGTATTTCCCCAGTCTGAGGCTTAATCTTGTGTCGGTCTCCCTGGGCTGCAATCTGAAGAGGCAATCTTCACAAATGCTGCGCCCCTCTCCAGGGCAGTTGGGGCAGGCCGTGTCTCGCCTGAAACTCCTCCATCGGATGTGCGCTGTACGAAGGCGAAGCAGTTGAGGGCTTTAGAGCCTGTCCTGCTGCACGCTTTGTTTATTAGTGCAGGCTCCTCCTCAGGATGGAGCTGTGGATGTAGCTGTCCTTGGGAGAAGGACGAGCCTTTCCCTGAGAAACCCTGAGTGTTCAGCCTGCTGGAGGAGCGCCTGAGCCCCCTTTTAGTAGGAATTTTCTGCTGGAGCAAGAACAGGATGGCAGGCACCTGGGACCATCTCCCAACTTGAAAGACAACCTCAACCGAGCATTGGCATCTTCCTGATGGCTCTGCAGTTTTTGGTGCTGTACCACAGCAGGGCTGCTGGGGTTGCGCACGGCCAATAGAGGTTGTTTTTTTGCTCCACTCTGCCATAAACTGATCCCAGAGGGGCTTTAATACAACGCTAGCACGCGTGCTAGGCTGTAGTAGTGCTGGCATCCAGGGACCTGGCAGCAGGAGCAGGCCAGCAAGCAAAGCCTCTTGCACAGGACCGACACGCCTCCAGGAGCTCTTGGTCCCGGGGAGGGTACGCGGGAAGGGTGCAGCCCTACAGACAGCCCTTTAGTCTAAGCCTAGTTGATTATAGCAAAGGAAAGGTGACCAGGTCTGATCCTGGAGGCTGACGCCATCACACATGGGGGAGGTCACTACCCTAGAAGATACTGAAGCATCCCAAGCCTTTCTACAGGTACAGTTTAAACAGCCCCGGCAGCAGTCAGTGGTACCCAGCTCGACGCAGTGAAGTGCTCAGGTGTCAGAGCTGACAAACTCCAGCGGTGGCTGGGCTCTGCTTGCACGGCATCTTCCACAGGAGGATCTCAAGAGCGATTGCAATCACCGAGGAGTTATGCTTTGCACACCCTTAGGAGGTGGGGAAGAAGAATTCCTGCTTTACGCAGACTGAGTAGACATCATTGAGCTGGTAGCAGAGGAAGAGTCGCTCCCCGGCGCTGTTGGGCACGCCAACGAAAGGCACTTGTGCAGCGAAGAGCCACGTGCCCCAGGGTCTCGCAGCTCACCCCGGCACTGACCCACACCCCATCCGCTGAGCCTCGTCACAGGAGGACCGGGCGGACACCCTCGCGGGGGGCTTGCTGTCTGACAAGGCGCCAGGGCTGCGCCGGGAGCGCCATGGGATAGAGGTACCACATCACCACCCCCGAGGGGTTAATAACGACCGAAAAGCTGTCTCCCGTCTTTAAGCCACTGGTGATCTTCCCGCTGTACACGTCTTGTACCTGGAAGAGAGAGATGGTGGCTACCAGGATTTCCACAGACCTTTCTCCTTGAGGTCCAGCCGTGGTCACTGACAATGGCATGGTGGGACCTGGCATGGGAGGGTGACCCAGTGGGTGGCTGTCCCTTCATCCCCGAGGCAGGCAGTGGGAGTCCTTCCCACAGGGTGTCAAAGGAGGGAGCTGAAAAGAGCGGGATCCAGGTGCTGTGGGACTGCCCCGCTATGCAGCGTGCCAGTGGGGCTCACCTCGTACACGGCGTCCTCGGGGAAGTGCAGCTTGGCCAGGCTGGTAGTGTAGACGAAGGGCGTGTCTGTCCTCCGGCTGAAGAAGACGAGGGCGCTGGCAGCCTGGGACAGCGGGCGCAGGAACACCTCGATGTGGGATTTCTCCTGGAGGTGGGGATGGGTGGGTGAGGCAGAGCTGCTGGGACCAGCCCTGGCCCGTAACTTCTGACCTTGCCCTGCCAGGCTGCGACACCAGCAGGTTCCCAGCTCTCCTGCTCATGTTTCTCTGCATCGCTTCCCTCTCCCTCCTTACTGTGATGCCCCATGCTGCTCCCGTCTGCTCTCCCAAACACATCCACCTTCCCCCTAACCTTGACAATCCTGCGCCCCTGGATTCCCAGGGGGTCCTGGTTGATCTGGATCATCAGGCGGTTTTGTAGGATCTCCTTGGCGCTCGGGGAGATGGTGCGGAGATCCGTGGACATGAGGAGCGGAGCTGCCATCACTGTCCACAAGGCCATTTGGGAGCGTGACTGCTCGTAGCTAAGGCCAAAGTTTCCAATGACGAGCTGGAGAGGAGAAGGTGAAAAAAGATGGGAGAGGCAGAAAAGGGTTAGAAACTTGTCTGCTTGTCACCCCTGGTGATGCTGCAGCCTGCAGGGAGGGAGCACGCATGGGAAACGCACACTTTTGCTTCCTCTCGAGGAGCCTACCACTGCCAGGAGATCCCACCCCTGCCAGGTACTGAGCCATCAGCACAAGTTCAAATGCACTCACTGACAGCCTTCCCTTCACCGCTCTCCCTGCCCAGGCTGCGCAGGGAAGGACAAGGACACCTGGACAGGTACACTCGAGCAGCGAAGGGCTCATTGCAACCACAACTTAGCCAAGGGCAACACGAGCTTTGCTTCTTTGCAGCAAGAGGGCTCCTGCTCCCGGCGCTCTTCCTCTGCGCTGCCCCTCGAAGGGGATCCCTGGAGATCCCCCATCCCCAGCCAGGGTCAAGTGCACCCACCACCCAGCCGTACCATGTCCGGGTCATTCCAGTGGCCAGGGCCAGCTGCCGGCTGCAGCACATCCTGGTTTGCGGAGAACCAGTCCAGGATGGACAGTACGCTGTCCCAGGAGTCCTGGATGTCGTCGTAGTTACGCCACAGGTTGCAGACCTCTGCCAGGATGGTGTAGTTCACCTGGAGAGGAGCACAGGGTGAGGCAGGAGGGAGAAAGGACCCAGTCTGTACGGTGGGGAGCTGCAGCATCCAGAACGTGTGTGAAAGGCAGAGGGATCTGGAGAAGGGCAACATCATGTAAGGAAGGAGGACGGAGTCCTATCCCGATGTGACTGGGCACATCCCAGTACGATAGGATGTCTGGCAAAACAATCACAGAGGCCGTGGGGGAATACGATCGGCTGCAAGAATGAGGGCAGCTCGGGATTGACTCAGAAGGTGGAAGAGGAAATAAATAAATGCGGTCAATTCTCAAGAAACATTACTAGGAGGAACATCCTATTTCGGGCACTTAAACCAGACAGGACCCGTCTCAGAAGAACAGACTGTCAGCATCAACCCCACACCAGCTGAGTGGGGTGGAAAGGGGCACGCCCCAGGGCCTTCTCCCCCCAGACTCCCATCACCTAGCCCTGCTGGGAACCCCAAGTGTCCCCAGATGCCTGGCAGGGAGGCCACAAACCCTCTGAGGACCTGCAGCCCCATCCTACCCAGGGCAGAGCGATAAGTGGGGTGTCGCACCCGGCTCCTGCAGCTCCAAGGAGAGCTCCCTCGGGGCACAGGGGACACGGGGAAACAGCCACTGGATGGGACAACCCTCACCTTGGGGGGCAGCCCCCCCTGATACGCTGGCCAGCTGCAGGAGTAGACGATGGGGCGGCCTGTGGCATTCAAAGCCCTCGCCATTTCTGGGTAGCCTTAGGGAGAGAAGATGACAACTGGTGAAGGGGGCAGCTGGCCCCCCGGACAGGGGGAACCCCGGGCCAGCCTGCCCTCCTGCCTCACACCAGCGCTAGGGCACCCAACTCCCTCCTCTTTGCCCACGAGCTGCAACAGGAGACGCGAGGGAAGAACTGGCTGGCCAAGCATTCCCGCGGACGGCCAGCCACCCCGACCAAAGCAGCGAGGGGAGAAATACCAGTCCGCCAGGGAGCCTTTACCCTCCGCCTGCTCCTCTCCCGACGAGTAGCACCCATCCAGCTTCAGCATGTCCACACCCCACTCCGCAAAGGTCTGGGCGTCCTGCTCCACGAGGTCCAGCGTGGTGCCCGGGTAGCCCCCGCAGGTGAGGGTGCCCAGGTCACCATAAATGCCCAGCTTCAGGCCCCGGGCATGGACCTGCGAGGAGAGGAGAGCTGCAAG